GGTGGAGAGGTGCTGGGCGCCAGGCTCTGGGCGGATGCCACTGGGCCCTGGGGGTGACCGTCGGCCGGGTTCGGAGAGGTTCCAGCCCTGGCCCAGGGCACACAGCCCCCAGGAGAGCAGAGGTGAGCACAGGGGCTGCCCGGTGCACTGCCATCCCCCGCCCATGCTTCAGGGCTTGTCAGGCCCCAAGGTCTCCCCAAGAGAGAAGCAGGAGACACCGGGAGGGTCAGAGCCCAGCTCCCAGCTCTCGGGCTGCCTGCTGCTTGCCCGCCAGCTTCCCCCTGTTTTGGGGCAGCTGCCAGATGAGACTAGAGTCCTGGCGAGGGGCTGAGGGTGCCTGTCTCGGGGTGCATGCAAACCTGGTGTGGCGCCCCCTGTGCCCTCCCTAGTACTACTGCTGCAAGAAGGAGGAGTCGGAGGAGGACGAGGAGGAGCCCGACTTCGCTGTGCACGCACACCTGCCCCCTCTGCACTCCAACCGCAGCCTGGTGCTGACCAACGGGCCTGCGCTCCACCCCGCCGCCTCCACCGCCTTCGGCCAGAAGTCCCCGCAGGCCCGAGCCCTCTGCCGCAGCTGCTCCCACTACGAGCCGCCCACCTTCTTCCTGCAGGAGCCAGACGACGCCGCGGACGAGGACGTGCGCAACGGTGGGGGGCGCGTGGCCTACAGGAGCATCAGCCAAGAGGACGTGGAGCTGCCGCCCCAGGGCTTCGGGGGCCTGCAGCCGCTCAACCCCAGCCGCCTGTCGGCCATGCGCGAGGCCTTCTCCAGGAGCCGCAGTGTCAGCACTGACGTCTGACCCCGTGACCAGTGCCCTGGGCGGCCCTGAAGCCATCCATGGAGGGACGCCTGTGCCGCCCACCCCCTTCTGCTGTCCACGTCCCATCCCTGGGGCCCTCTGGGGGATAAGGCTCAGTGAATGCAGGTGCGCCCACCGTGGGTAGGGACCGCTGGGTGGAATGGGCAGCAAGCCCGGCCCAGGGACAGGCGAGGGGCAGGGGAGTGAAGACAGCGGCTCAGTGCTGGGCCTGGGGCAGGGCGGGGCCGTCTTCCAGAGGTGTGGGACGGGGTCACTACGAGCCTGGCGTCCACCCTCTTACTGTTCTGGGAGGGTGGTCTCAGTGATGCCCGGGCCCTGACTGCAGATGAAGGGCTCTGTGCCTGCAGCCTGAGCTCGGCCCCTTCGCTCCTGTCCTCTGTCTCTCTCTCTCCCTCTCTCTCTCTCTCTCTCTCTCTCTCTCTCTCTCTCTGGGCTCTGGGCACCAAGATGCCCATGTGTTAAGCTCCCTGCAGCTGGACAGCCCCCACAAAAGGGTGAGGCTTGGGGTAGCAGGGTCCTTGTCACAACTGGCACGGAGAGGGAGATGCTGCTTGGGGGTTCAGCCCTAAACTCACCCAACAAGTGGGCAGAGACCCCGAGGCAGCCAGGCAGAGGTGGGCAGATGTGTGGCCCCTAACATGCTGTGAGGCTTGGACAGGCCTCCACAGCTCTGGGCCTCGGTCTCTGCACCACTGTGAGGAGGCTGCTGGCCTCAGGGCCCTTCCAGCTCTGGCTCTCAGCAGGAGCAGAGGTCCCCAGGGGAGACAGAGCTAGGGGCCACCTCCCCTGCACACGCTTCCTGCTTGGAGTGAGGCCCAGGCCCTGCCCTACCCAGTACCCAGCGGGCCCAGAGGAGGAGCTGGCTGCCCTGTGTGGAGGCCTCACTGTGCCTGCATCATGCAGGCTGCAGCCCAGGTCTCTGGGAGTTCTGACTTCTCCTGGCCTCCTTGGTGGCTAAAGCTGCCCGCAGACCACCCCAGGGAAGTGCCCCCAGCCAGGCACCGTCGTCAGAGCACAGTGCTGCCTGCCAAGAGGCCATGTGGACTCAGGCAAGAGACCTCCTCTCAGACACCCTTTCCGCCACCTGGAGCCCAAGATGGGGCGAGGGTACCCACAAAGCTGGGGACCACTGCCGCCGTTCTCTCCTCCTCGTCCTCCTGCCTGCCCTGTCTGATGCATCAGGGGATTCGCCTCACTGAGTCCAGCTCCTCCCCACCTGCCCACCCCTCTCTGGCTGGGTCCCCACCAGCAGCGGGGCTGCAGATATAGCCTGCTCCCTCTCCGTCCCCTGCCTGCGGCCTCTGCCCTTTCTGTACAGACCCAAAGGTCCCTTTGAAATGAACTAAGTGTGCGTCCCTCCCAGCTCACCCAACGCCACAGCCCTGGGGCCTGCTGGAGTGCCGTGGGGTTCCCAGAGCAAAGCAAAGGCCAATAAACCTGCTCCCTCCCTTTACTCTGCATCTTCAGTCCCATCCCTTCCAGGTCCCAGGGCAGACCCTGCCCAGAAGCCACCCCAGTGCCAGGTGGAGCTGGCTGGTGGGGTCCAGGCTGTGTACTGAGGGGCCCAAAGCAGCTTTTTAGCAAGGGGACCCCACAGCAAGCCACCTTGGTTTCTTGGTTCTACCAGGGCTGTGTGGATATTTCAAGATTGGGAATCCCAGTGTAGAACAACTTGAACTTCACTGCCACCTGGGGCAACTGGCTGAACCTCCCTGGCGTGAACGCGAGGGGGCCGGCTACCGTGCAGCCCTCTGTGGGACTCTCAGAAAGACAGGACCAGCAGTGGGTACACTGAGTGCCCAGTGGGCACTGGTGGGAAGGAGGACGGGAGGATTCAGGTGGGGAGGGAGCTGAGCGGAGAGACCATGAGGGGCCTCCGGGCTGAGGGGCGCTGTTCTGCCTGGAGCCCAGGGTAACCTGCAGCAGGTCTGTCCTGCCAGCCTCTAAGCCCAGAGGCTTGGGGACCAGAGAGAGCTCTGGTGGTGTCAGTGCTGTTGCACCCTGCAATAAATGCGGGGGTAGGTGCCCTATGTGCAGAGGCGAGCACCTCCGGTCTGGGTCGTCGCCAGGTCCTGCAGAAGCTGCCCTGCTGTGCTGGCTGGGGACCCCAAGCAGACGTCCTCCTGCTTCCTTTTCCCACCCGTGAGTGAAGCAAAAGCTGCGGAGACCCCCCAAGGCCCAGTGTTCCCCACAAATCCGTGTGAGAGGCCCTCCCCCCAGGGCTGGAACCCAGCACGGAGGCACAGAGGCCCGGTCACCTCAAAGCCCCCCAACTGTCCTGGGCCCCACACCAGTGGACAATGGGCCCGTGGCTCCAGCCAGTGCCAGCTCAGTGCGGGGTCCCACTGCCCTTGCCCCCTCCCTGTGCCCTTGTGGAGCCCCCCGAGGCTCCCCAACACCCCCAAAGGCCACCATAAATACGACCACTTTATTAACATCAACCCATGAGTACTGACGGGTTACAGGGTACCCTGCTGTCCATGAACAAATACACTATACAAAAGAGGGTCTGCCCTGGGTGTAAAGTGCACCATCCCTCCAACACACGAGCTCCTACACAGCTGGCGGAGCCCTGAGATTAACCCTCTGGAAAGAGGACGTGTGCACACCTCAGGACCCAGGGCCCTCTAGGCCTCCCAGTGCCCTGTGCCTCCCGCAAACCCAAGTCACCCCAGGGAGGGAGGCCATTCCCTTTCCTGGTCACCTGCAAGTCACCTTGAGAAGGCCCTAGACCACAGACATGTCCCCCACACTGGGTGGGGCCTCAGGTTCAGCCCCGGGGTCCCGTGGATCTGTGGACAGCATCCAGGCAGGCACTGGGGGCCTGGAGTCCCTCGTGTGGGTTGAGGCTCAGTGTCAGGTCTTCCCAGCCTGGGGCCCGCAGGACGGTGTTCGGGTAGAGGTCCCCAGAGCAGCAGCAACCCAGGGACGGGGTGCGCGGGTCTCAGGGAGCTGCAGCGGCCCGGCTGGGGGTGGGGGGCCGGCAGGAGCGGCAGCAGGCCTTGCTGTAGTACCAGTGGCCACAGAGGTTCACCTTGATGGCCAGGGCACAGTTGGTGCCTGGCTGGTCCTGGCAGCTGTCATCTGGGGAAGGGACACGGTGGAGGACATTCAGGAAAGAAGGGCAAGACTTCTGCAGGTTCTTGTCATTGCCCACCTCCCCCTTTTAATTTTTTTATTTTGAGACAAGGTCTTGCTAAGTCACCATGTTGTTCGGGCTGAGTGTGAACTTGTGATCCTCCTGCCTCAGCCTCCCAGGGTGCTGGAATTACAGGCCTGCTCCATCATGCCCAGCTAAACTGACACTTCGCAAAGCACAGAGGTCAGCCCTCAGTGGTGCGCCTGGGCTGCGGAGCCTGGCTCCCAGTCCCCTTTCCACCTCGCCCTGTGGGAACCTCCACGCCTGCATCCAGCAGCCCCAGGCCCCAGGTCTGCCTCAGAGGAGCTTACCTGGGGGCTCCGTGGGGCACGGTTGCAGGTCACAGGCCTGTCTGCCAACCGGCTTCACCAGTGGATCACAGCCGCGGACAATGTCAGTGCCCTGATAGCATCTCACGTCCCGCATCCTCACGCCCACCCCACAGGTCTTGGTGCACTGAGGGGACAGATGCACGTGGCTCAAGCAGGCCACCAGCCAGATCCCAAGGCGGGCAAAGAACCTGCAGCTGGGGCTGTCCCTGCCTCCCACCCTGCCTCAGTTTCCACAGCCACACAGTAAGGGGTGACTGCATTCTGGGGAGGTCTGTAGCCCCACTGCCCTGGATCTGAAATGGTGTTCACTACCGGCCAGTCCTGTGCTGCGGCAGCTCCCTAACGCAGGTCCCTGGGCTCCCGAGGGGGGTGGGGCACGTGCCCCCGGCAGCACAGGCACAGGGAGGGGTGAGATTTGGCAGGAGGGGGGCCCTGTCCAGCCCCGTCCGAGGTGAGGAGAGGCCGGCTTGGCACCACTGCCAGGGGACAATCCGCCTTTGGCAAATGCAGCAAGGAATCTCTGCCAGTGCCCCTGGAGAGGGTGGGGTCCGGCTCCCACCCACTCCCGGTGCCCACGCCTGTCCCCAGGGAGTGGTTGGGACAGGGCAGCTTGAGGAACAGACACGAGCCCATGCCCGGCACAGGAAGTGGCCACAACAGAGGACAAAGATGACAGGGCCTGTGTGCCCACTGTGGCCCTTGCCCCACCTGGCCACTCCTCACCAGACAATGCTGCTTTTGGGGTCCTGCATCCCCTATCTCTTCTCTTCTGTGGCTCAGAGTTCCTGCACCAGCTGCCCTCCAACCTGAACCTGGTACTATCCCCAGAGCACTGAGCTCAGCAGGGCTCCCTGGAGCCCCCTGGCCAACCAGGAGGGCCCTCTGCTCCCCAGCACCCCCATCTCTCCAGCTGGCGTCAGCTAAAGGTCACCCCAGGGTCTGACCCTGGGTCTGCCCTGATTGTGACGAAGGATGAGGTGGGAGGGCGGAAGTCCCGCATGGGGCAGGGGTGAGCCCAGACACCCCGGGCAGCAGGAGGTCCTCTGGCCTGGCACATCCTGGGCAGGAGCAGGACACATGGGACACCGCCTCATAGACCCTTAGGACCCTTGCCTGAGCACGAGGTCACAGCATTTGGCACTGTGGTCCAGCAGCCCATACCAGACAGCCCCAGCCTGTGGGCTGTGCTGCAGCACCACAGTGAAGGCTCTGAGCCCCACATCCCACCGGCACCCCCCACTGCCCCCAAGGACCAGGCACAGGCAGCCCAGACCCGGCTCACACAGCCTGACTGTGGAACCTGCTCTCCAGTCCCGGCCAGTGACCCCCGGGGATAGCTCTGGGCCCTGCATGCCCTCCTGAGAGCCTCGCCTGAGGGTGACTCTGGCACTCAGACTCTGGGCCGGGACCACAGGTACACTTTGCCAAAGTTTCTGAAGCTGGCTTCCAGCCATGCTGTCTCTGGGTACCTGGAGCACGGGGGTGTTGACAAGCCCCGAGCCCTGGGACCGTGGCAAGAGGCCTCCACAGGGGCGTGCAGAGCAGACAGACGGGTAGCACGGGTGCCCTCCCCGACCGAGCCCCACCCGAGAGCTGGGCCCACTCCTGCCCCTGGCTCCCTGCCTGGGCTCCACATCCCACCCACTCAAAGCAGTCATATGGGATCCCGGGAGATCTCGGTGAACGCAGTCTCTTCCTCTGAGGACTGGAAAGCCTGGCGCAGTCAGCCAAGTTCAAGGGAGGAGACCTCAGCCAGTGCAAAGCCGGAGGGGAAGGCATGGCTGTCACCCGGCCAGCACCCTCAAGCTGGGCACTGTGGGCGAGGAGCCCGCGGAAGCGTGCAGCGGACCAGCCCGTGTTGGAGGGAGCTCCCTACCTCCGGAAGCGTCCTGGCCCCTATCCCAATCCCATCTTGGCTGTGCCCCACCCACTGTTTCCCACGTGGGGTGTCAGACACAAGAGCCATCACGTCCACTTAAAGGCCACCGTGCAAAGCCGGAAGTGTCCAGGCCCCAAAAGGACCGGGATGAGGACCAGAGTTGAGATCAGGGACAGCTCCTTCGGAGGCACCTGCAGGCGGCACCTGGGGGACATGAGGCCAGGAGGCGGCCTCGGGGGCACCACGGGCGCTCACCTCTGACCAGGGGCTGGTGTACCACCTGAAGCAGGGCCTCTCGAAGCAGGTGCTCTCCACCGGCGGCTTCTGGGCCAGCCCACACTCGGGGCCGCTTCGCGTCTGTGGCTTCCCATTGGCCAGCTCCATGCAGAGGACCAGCCGCTTCTTCACACCTCGCCCGCATGTGGTGTTGCACTGTGGGCACCCGCGGCACAGGTCAGCGGCCCGGGCGAGGACCGGGACATGGGCCCGGCCACCAGTGACCGTGGTTTAGCCAACAGCATGCAGTGCAATTTGGCTGAGAACTCTTTGCTCCATAACCATTTGTCCCCAAATGGACTTGATCAAAAGCAACTGGGCCCCAAACCATTTGTTTTGAAACAAGTGTGCTAATGACAACTCGGCCAGAACAGATCTAGCAGCTGACTTGGTTAAGTGAGCTGCCTGAGATGGCTGGGTGGAACAGTTCATCGTGGGAATAGACCCTGGGTGACAGGCTGGAGGGAGGAGGACCGGCTGTGACGACAGAGGTCTCTCGGAGAGGACTGCCCACCCGGGACCTCACCAAGCACCAGGCCAGGCTTCCACTTGCCCTTTTGGCTGTCTGCGCTTTAACTGTCAGTGGCTGCCCCCTCGCCATCCACAGAGACTCCCACGTCCTGACCGGTCACCCTGCCATCTCTCCCTGCGGCCACCAGGCACTCACCCGCTCCCAGTCCTGGGCCAGCCAGTGTGCCGGGCAGTTCCTGTCTCCGCAGGGGTGGATGGCCAGGGGCTTGGTCTCCACTTGGCACTGGGACTCAGGCACCACCCGGCCATCGCTGGTCTTGCAGTACACGTGCCTGATGGTGCGGCCCTGCCCGCAGCTCCCGCTGCACTGCAGGAGGCCATCGGGGGCTTGAGGGGAGGCGCCTCTCACCTTGAGCCCCCACCCAAATTGTCCCCCGGGGGAGAGCAGTGGCTCCCAGGGCAGCATGGGGAAGCGGTTGCTGTGGTAACCACTTTTTAAATAACATTTCCTGCTCTAATTGCAGAAATAACACATTCGGTGCTGAACACACACAGAGAAAAGCACAGCTCGCAGGGCACGTGTGCGCCCCACATGCCACCACCAGAGGCCACCTCAGCCAGCACCCAATGGGAGACGGGCCAGAGACGGACAGGGAAGGCAGAGGCGAGTGGAGGTGGAGAGACCTAAGGAGACAGAGACACCGGGACAGGAGAGACAGGAGGACAGGGAGAGAAGAGATACAGGGACGTGGAGACAGGAGAGACAGGAGGAGAAGGCAAGAAACAGGCAGAGACAGAGACAGAGAGAGACAGACAGAGGAGGCCCTGCCGCTCCTTCTTGGGTCACGGTTTGGTTCTTACACCCGTGCGAAGGACCAGTACCCTCCGCTCCCTCTCCAGAGGAGTGTGGAAGCCGAGGCGGGGCTCTCATCCCCACTGCCCGCGCCCTCACCGGTCCCCAGTC